GTTGTTTTTTCTTGTTCTTCTTGCTTGTTTTCTTGGTTAACCCTAACCCTTGTGTGTTTCTTGAATATAAAGAAATCGTTTATATTTTGTTCCAAGGCATTCTAAGATGAATCTGATATCACATGGTCGAAGCAAGCACATTGAAATGAGGTTCCATTATCTTTGAGAGCAGGTAGCAGAAGGGAAGATGAACTTAGAATACTGCAGAACTGAGAATCAAATTGCATACATCATGACAAAGGGAGTGTCAATCGAAGTGTTAAAGAAGTTAAGATCTATGATGAATGTAGATAGTTTAGACACAAAGGTGGTGTGTTAAATATGTAATTTATTGTTTTAGAAATATTATATTTGATTTAGAAAGATCGTATTAGATTAGATATTTTAGGCCTTTTATAGTTTAGGCTTTAGATTGAAATGCAAGTTAACCTAAATTTATAAATAGGGAGGAACCTTTATCATTGTAATTATCAAGTTTGATAATCACAGCTTTGCAGTTGCAAAGTGATAATAAAATTCCACAGTTGTGGGCAGAGAGTTACTCTGCAGTTCAAACTCATCTTTTTTAAATGTGTTCTTATTTTTGTTCATTGTCATTACATGACAATCTTGAGATCAAGATTGAGAAGAATTCACCATAGGTCATGGTTAAATTCCAACTTCTGGTATATAGAGCTCAAATTTTGATTCAAGGGAAGAACAAATGTGATGGTGATGAATCACCCGAATGGTCACTTTCTAGCAAATCTTCCAATTCTCAAGAAAGATAATTTTGAGAATTAGTGTAAACAGGTTAAAATGGTTTTCTATTACCAAGATCTTTGGGATATTTTGAAGGAGGGATTATCAACGCTTGCAGAAACTGTGACAGATCAAGAGAAAACAACATATAAAGAATTGAAGAAGAAAGATTATAAAGCTCTCTTTATAATTCATCAATGTGTTGATCCAGATAACTTTGAAAAAGTTAGTGATGTAGAATCAGCAAAAGAAGCTTGGGAGATTCTTGAAAAATCGTTTGGAGGCGTAGAGAAGGTGAAAGACGTGAGGTTACAAACTCAAAAAAAGACTTATGAATTGCTTCATATGGAACACAATGAAAGTATAACAGATTTCTTCACCAGAGTTACAAAGTTGGTGAATCAACTCAAGGTATATGGAGAAGTGTTGACATCAAGATCAGTTGTGTCAAAGATCTTGAGGTCATTGGCTCCAAAATTCAACCATGTGGTAGTAGCTATAGAAGAGCTTCAAGGGACGCTTGAGTCTCATGAACAAAGAATGGCTAAAAAAGCTGCAGGAAAGTCGAAGACTGATATGGTTTTGCAGGCACAATTAGAAAAAGAAAGAAAATTCAAAGGAAGCTAGAATTGAAACAAAGGTTATGAAGGCTACATCAATTCGACTGGTTGAAATCAGCATGAAGGATACTGGTCGAATTAGAGAAAACCCTGGAACCAAGGTAACCAAAAAGGTGGTGATGCAGGTAAAGGAAGAGGTAGTGGTCGAAAGCCTGACAAAAGTCACATTTAGTTTCAATTGTCAGGAGTATGGTCAATATTTTAGTGATTGTCCAAAGAAGAAGAAGAATCTAGAAACGGATGCAAAGCTGGCGAAACATGAAGAAGAAGAGATGTTGTTGATGGTCACAACAAAAGACGAATAGAGATTCCAGGACTAGTGGTACTTGGACTCAGGATGCTCATCACACATGACTAGAAGGAAAGATTGGTTTGTCAACATAAAGCCATTGAAAATGATAACACTCTAGCAGCTGAAGGTGTTAGTGATGTTCATATCGCGAGAATGATGGCAAAAAAATCAATAATTTCCAATGTGTTATACATATCAGGCATGAAAAGTAACATGCTCAGTATAGGACAACTTGTCGAAAAGAACTACAAGGTAGTTGTCAAAGACAAGATGATGAGAGTTCTTGATGTAGGTGGTAAGTTGATCATGAAGGCTCCAATGTCTCAGAATAGGACTTTCAAGATTGAACTTAATGTGATGGAGCACAAGTGCCTAGTAACTGCAGCCAACATAGATGAATGTTTATGGCATTTTTGACTAGGCCATCTCAACTTTAATGACATCAGAGAGCTAAAGAGAAGAAATATGGCTTCAGGATTACTAAAATCGACATTTCAAGTGAAGTCTGTATAGAGTGTGTTCAGTCGAAACAACACAAGAATAGCTTCAGCAAGGATACAAGAAGAAAGTCGAAGGCAATTCTGTAAGTCATATACTCTGATGTATGTGGTCCAATCCAGGTGGATTCGATGGCAGGCAACAGATACTTTGTCACGTTTATAGATGATTACAGTTGAAAGTTATGGACTTATCTCATCAAGAAGAAAAGTTATGTGATTGAGGTATTTTCCAGATTCAAATCTATGGTCGAAAGACAGAGTGGTCAAAATTTAAAAATTTTGAGGACTGATGGTGGTGGAGAGTATGTGTCGAAAGAGTTAGATGAATTATGTGAAAAAGAAGGGATTGTGCATGAGGTGGTGCCATCCTAAACTCCACAGAAAAGTGGAATTGTAGAAAGAAAGAACAAAACCATCATGAACATGGTGAGAAATATGTTGAATGGAAAGCATCTACCCAAAAAATTATGGGGAGAAGCGGTTTCGATAACAACATACATATTAAACAGATGTTCGACGAAGAAGCTTGAAGGAATCACACCAGAAGAATGTTGGTCTGGTGTCAAGCCTAGCCTCAGTCACTTGAAGGTGTTTGAATCTATAGCACATAGACATTTTTCAGATCAATAGAGAAGGAACCTTGACGACAAGTCAAATAAGATAATCTTGATAGGATATTATTCGACTGGAGGTTATAAGATGTTTGAACCAGTGAATAAGCAGGTAGTGATAAACAGGGATGTGATCATAGATGAGCTTAAAGAATGGGATTGGACTGAGAGTGTCAAGAAGGATTCAGTAAGAATCTCTTATGAAGAAGTAACCACTGAAGTCGAAAGAGAATTTTGACAAGAAGAAGTCAGAGGTGAAGCAGGCCAAAGCAGACCTCAATGAACAAGACACATGCCTGCAAGGTTGCAAGAATGTGTGATTACATCAGATGATGTGGTCGATGAAGAAGGTGAGTTGGTACACTATGCTTTGTGTTTTCTATGCAGATGTAGAACCAGTCAATGTAGTTTAGGCATTGAAAGATTCGAAGTGCGTGAAAGTTATGAATGAGGAGTTAGATTCCATCGGAGTCAACAACGCCTAGTCACTTGTCGAATTTCCTTAAGGAAATAAGGCAATTGATGTGAAGTGGATTTACAAGGTGAAGATGAATCCTAAAGAAGAATTAACTCGACACAAGGCGAGACTTGTGGTGAAAGGATTTCTTTAGAGGGAAGGAATCGACTTCGACAAAGGTTTTGCACCTGTTGCTAGGATCAAAACAATTAGGTTGATTGTTGGTATAGCAAACATGAACAATTGGCACACATATCAGATGTATGTGAAATGTGCATTCTTGAATGGTCCCTTAGACGAAGAAGTTTATGTTGCATAACTAGCTAGGTTTGTGAAACAAGGCGAAGAAAAGAAGGTGTATAGGCTGCATAAAGTCCTGTATGGACTTAAGCAAGCTCCAAGAGCTTGGAACATGAAGATCGACATGTCAACTATCAATTTGGAGAAGATTCCGAGAGCACATGGATGAAGCAAGCACATCGAAATAAGTTTCCATTATCTTCAAGAGCAAGTAGCATAAGGGAAGATGAATTTGGAACACTGCGGAACTGAGAATCAGATTGTAGACATCATGACGAAGGGAGTGTCAGTCAAAGTGTTCAAGAAGCTAAGTTCTATGATAAATGTAGATAGTTTAAACACAATGAATTAGGTAGTGTGTTAAATATGTAATTCATCATTTTAGAAATATTAAATTTAATTTAGAAAGATCAGATATGATTTAGAAAGATTAGATTAAATATTTTTGGACTTTTATAGTTTGAGATTTAGCTTGATATGCAAGTTAACCTAAATCTATAAATAGGGAGGAACCCTTATCATTGTAATAATTAAGTTTGATAATTACGATTTTGTAGTTGTAAAGTGATAATAAAATTTCATAGTTGTGGGCAAAGAGTTTCTCTGAAGTTCAAACTCATCTTTTTTAAACGTGTTCTAGTTTTTGTTCATTGTCATTACATAACAATCTTAACATCAAAATTGAAAAGAATTCACCAGTGGTTGAATTCCAACATAAAGATTTGTTAAAATTTTATTATGCGTTATTATATTTGTCGGTATCTTATGTAATGATTAAGAATTTTGTAAATTAAATTGCAGAACGGTCTACTTACTTGCCAACTCGTTAATAAATAGAACAAATTTGAATTTTAAGTTCAGACGTTTAAATTAGGAATGGAGTGGACTGCTTCGCCCCACTTTTAACCAGACTTAAATGGAATAGGATGGACAATCCACTTTACTACCTCTAATTTTAATAACAAATGACAATAAAACATGATAATTTGTGATGATTGAGTCTTTAGGCCTTATGTGGTTCCAAAATTGATTAATTCATTTTATATATCTAAATCAAAATCCATAGTTCAATTATTAGACATTTTGGTGTACAACTTGACTTCATTTATTAAAATCTTTGTGAAGACTTGTTGTGAGTTTTACTTTCAAAAAAAGTTATTAGATACATTAATAATTAACTTGAATCAAGATGTGTGGATTATTTGCCGATACAAATCCAATAGGCTTGCAATATTCGTCGATGCATCATGATAACATTGACTCACAAGAAAAGAAGTACTATGATTAACAAAAAGAAGGCTATCTTGTTTCAAAATGTAACTTCCATTTACCAGTTTGAACTCACTGCTACGGTACATTACATAACTTAATTTTTCTTCAAAACTATTGATATGCTCTATACAATAAAAATAAATGAATCAAAATTGCACATGATTTGATAATAAGCGGGTTGAAATTAAAGCTAAATTGAATCCTCACTCAGGCAGAAGGTACAATGCATTCAAAGCAGTTTAGTCCATCAAACTCCGGTGCAAACCTTGTTCTCAAACGGGTCGGGTTTTTCTTATCTCCACCGGGCATTAATGTTTTCGGATCATCTTTCACGGTCGCTTTGGATGAGGAAGTAGCTTCCTTATTGGGCTTCGGATTTCCATCTTTTACCGGGCCCAAACCCAAGGAGAAGCTCCATTGTTTGCCCTGTGAGATATCGAAGTGGCTGAACATAGACATAAACATGTTTGTTGTGTGGTTGAGGTTGTGAGGATTCGAAGAGATTGCTGAAGGATTTGAATAAATTGGTTGGAACAATTATTAATGTTATTTGAGGTGTGTTGGATAGACATTGATGATAGGAGGATTTATATTGGATTAGAAGATGAGAAAGTGGAAGAGTCGTGGAAGACTATTCCTGGTATTTTCTCGAATTTTTTATGCGGTGTTCTTGTTTGGACTCTCGAACCTTCTTTCCTTGACGCGTGGTTCAACGACCATTCACGCGCTCAGTCTTTTTGGTGTTTTTGGTTGTTATGACTTACTGTACTACTACTGACTAACTGTAACCCAAACTTGATTCAATTTACATTCAACAACTTTCTTTTTTTGCTGTTGCGAAATTCAACAACTTTCTTGTTGACCACGTACACTATGTCTCTAGAGTTTATCTCTCTGTTCCACAATAACAATCATACTTCGAGATAGAGATGGAATAAGTCAAATTGAAAAAATATTATATTCTTTTTATAATGTTTAATATGATAAACGTTATGGAACCGGGGAAATACTAGTCATACATGTTTTTTATTCATCCATTCAAATTTAAGACATTATAAGGTGTTCTTTTCTTGTTATTTTTTTAGTATTGCTATTATATGACTATATGTTATTTTTAGTATTGATCTTATATGAGTAAGAAATAATAAAAAAAATTGAAAGATAGTGTAATGTATAAGTCATTTTTATTCTTTATTGTCAGATGTCATAATTTTAAATGAGGGTTATAATTAATTAGAAATTTGTTGGGTAGTTAGTTAAGTTGGTTACTTTGTGCTTCAAGTGATTTGAATCACAAGGTATTTTTAAAAAGTATCTCTCTCTCATATTTCCATTTATATGTTACTTGTTTTGCAAGTAATAGTTTTCATGTATAGTTAATTGACATCTAGAGTCTAATTTCAACATCAAGGTGTTGATTCATAAGGGAAACACGAGTGAAGTATTGAAAAAATAGTGAGAAACGAATAGTGAAGAAAAGTTGCATATATTTCTTAAAATTGAAGAAAGATGAGTGCAAATGGTGGTTTCTCAACCAATATCTTGACACTTGATGGAAGTAGTTGGAAAAGGTGGATTGCCCTAATAAAATCATTGTTTGGAGTACAAAATGTGTTTTAAATTGTGCAAGAAGGATATGAAGAACTTGGTGCAAACCTAATTTATGCTCAAAGAACCACCTTCAAAGAACCAAGAAAGAAAGACTACAAAGTTGTGTTATGCATTCAGCAAAATATAGACTCTTACCATTTTGAGAAGATCTCAAAGGCCACAAAATCAAAGGAAGTATGAGACGTGTTAGAGAAGTATCATGATGGCGGAGAGAAAGTGAACCAAGTGAAGTTGCAATCACTAAAGAAAAGGTATGAACTGATGCAAATGGAGGAGAACCTGAAAATCAGTGATCACTTCTTAAAATTGATTGCTTTGGTTAACTAATGAAAAATAGTGGTGAAGGAATCACTGATCAACACGTGGTTGATAAAGTAATGAGATCTTTAACAATAAGATTTGACTTCATAATTGTTGCAATACAAGAACCTAAAGATCTTAAGAACATGAAGATTGAGTTTCTACAGAGCTCATTAGAAGCACACAAGTTGATGGTACTTGATATAGGTACTAAAAGATAAACTCAATAAGCATTGAAAGCTCAAGTAATGGAAAATGATGGAGCTGAAAGTAATTTCAAGAAGAAAGGCAAAGGAGGTCCCAAGAATTCAAATTAGTACAATATTGTAAAAAAAGAAGTGAATAAAAGGTTAAATCTTCTAAAAAGGCGGAGATCATGGCAAGAATCGCTTCAAGAAGAAGGATTGTGATAAAAGAAAGATATAATTCTATAATTGTGAAAAGCATGGCCATTTTGCAAATGAATGTTGGTACAAGAAAGAAGGAGGAAAGAAAATTCAGAAAGATAATGAAGAGGCCAAAATAGCACACGATGATGGTGAATCAGATGCAAGGCTACTCATGACCACCACCTGTGAAACATGTGACTTCACACACAAGAGGGAGTCGAATTGTGGGGGCATTAAAATTGATTGTTTAACTCATTTATTTTCATTTTCATAATTTAATAACATTTGTTCGAAAATATTTGAAAATAACAGTGAAAAATTAATGGAAAGAAAATATGCTGAAAATAAAAAGATAAGAGAAGAGAGAAGATATCAAAATTAATAGAGGTTCGTTCTAAATTAAGCGACATAATCATCTCTCCAAGATTTTATCTTGAGAGTATCATGTAATGCTTATAAGCTTTTATTAGGATGAGCTTATAAACTCCCTTATACAAGGAATATGAAGACATTGTCCTAATAGATTATGGAGATTATTTGCACTAACCCAATAGATTGTGAATATGCTTTAATCGATTGGAAAACTAAAAAATGTGTCTGTCATCTGACAGCTTCTGATTCTTTTGGCTAGACTCTAAAATATATTTAGGTTGTTTTATTTGAGAAATAAGGTTTTTAAAAATATTTGTGTGTGTGTGATTTAGCCATATTGCTTTATAAAAATTTCATTGTGTCTTTACGAAATACAAATCACTCAAACGCAATTAGACGAGCTTTTACACTTCCTCTCTCTCATACTTTGAAGCTCATGACTTTGCCGAATATACCAATCACATAAACATTTTTTTTTTTGAATATTCTTGGAGATGAGACTTGAGATATCTTCAAATTTGAAGTCATCATCAAAGGATAAATATCATCAAAATCCTATTTCATCAGGTTGATTCAAAGGAATAACTTTAAACAAATAATCTTATGCATCTTCGATCGCTTGACACTCATGCTTGACTTTATGCTTTAGGATCAAATTAAGTCTTCATAAGTCATCATCAAATGTTGCATTATCCTCATAAGTTATCATTAGTAAATCCAGGTTGTCATCCTCAAAACCAAATTATGATGTGTTTAGCTTGGATCACTTGTTGATTGAACCCGTAAGCATAGTGTTCCTCATTTCCCCCTATTTTGATGAAGACAATGCATCTTCAAGGAGGTGGTAGAAAAATAATAGGTTAATAATAACGAAGTGTTTAAACTCCCCCTTAAATAAGTAGAGAGTATACTTTACTTTCTTTGAGAGTATATTTCCTCCTATTCGTCATAATAAAAATAACAGGTAAACAATACAAAGCAGTAATTTAAAACATGCAAATATATAATCACATAGGAATTTAAAAAAAGGGAAAAACAAACAGACATTATTGAATTAAATTATACATAAAGTAGAAAATTTTAGGAATTCAAAAACAAAAAAAACAAACACATTACGAAAACTAAGATACATAAATAAGATTATTATTTGTCATGAGTATCATTATTTCTTATGACAATTTTCTTGATCTTTGCAATATATTGATCAGATCATGTATGGATAAAGTAGAAAATTTTAGGAATTCAAAAACAAAAAAAACAAACACACTACGAAAACTAAGATACATAAATAAGATTATTATTTGTCATGAGTATCATTATTTCTTATGACAATTTTCTTGATCTTTGCAATATATTGATCAGGTCGGTCATGTATGGATAGACTATTTTGCTGACAAATCTTCATGATATTGTTTTTGTTGAGTTGTGAGATTCTTTCAAGTGATCTTCTTCATCAGTCAAGTTGTATCTTAATTCTCTATATTGAATGTAAATATTCAGAGATTAGTAATTGATCTTATTAATTAATAACTCCATTTTTTCCCTATAATGTTGATATTAAATGCGTCCAAAAATTTTACGATTAATCTTTAATATGGGAGTCCAGCTTCTTGAATTTCTTTGTACTGTGTATCATACGAAGAAGAAATATGACTTCTATCCGATTAGTTTGAAATTTTTCTATTAAAGTCAAAAGAGGAACAATATCATGACGGTTAACACGATTTATTGGTTTCATAGAGCTTGCCTTAATGTGAATTTTTTTATTCTCCATGAAATTCATAACTTTACTTTTTTCTTGCTTTTCATATTGGAAAAAACTTTTTTCTTGCTTATCATATTGGAAAAAATCCAAGTTCTATGGTTATATTCTACAAAAGATTTATATAGAATAGCACGCATCACTTAACAATCAGTTTTGTATGGTTAAATTAGACTGAACTATATTCTATCAGATGTTAGATATGAGAGGGTGTATTGAAAAAAATCAAAGTCCCACATTAATTAAAGATATAATCTACAGTATATTTATATAGAGTGACACTCTCACCTTATATAAAGTGACACTCTCACCTTACCGATCAATTTTATTAGGTTAAGTTAACCGCAACCATAATTTTTTAAAATCATTTTTTTTCTTAAGTTCTTTTTAATATGTCTTTTAAATAAACTCATTTTAATTAAGTGTCTCTAAATTAAAAGCATTTTGATGAAGTCATGATGATCCTTATGAAGAAAGAAAAAGATATCAAGAAAAATAAAGAGACTCACGCAAGAAAGCAGAGAAAAAAAATATAGTTATAGCCGACTTTTGGACGGCCAATATTACGCCTAAACCCAGTGATGAATCATATCTGGTTCACGTTTTCTAACTTGAATTTAGTGATAAAAAATAAATAAAACTAGAATCCAATGTCAGGATTATTTGACGCTACACATCCAATAGGCTTGCAATATTCGATGATAGATCATGATAACACTAACTCACAAGAACAAAAGTATAGTACTATAATTCAAAGCACTATGAATAATAAAAAAAAGGGCTGTATTGTTTCAAAATTCAACTTACATTGACCAGTTTCAAGTCACTGATACGGTACACTCTCTATACAGTAAAAAAAAATAAATGAATCAAAATTGCACATAATTTGATAACAAGCTAATCGAAATTAGAGCTAAATTGAATCCATCGCTCAGACAGAAGGTACAATGCATTCAAAGCAGTGTAGTCCATCAAACTCCGGCGCAAACCTCGTTCTCAAACGGGTCGGGTTTTTCTAATCCCCACCGGAC